GATTACATCGAATTGTAATGATGAATTCTGTAACTTAGCCACCCAGCTGAAAAAAAATTCTGGGGCTTGAATTCAGATGTACAGTCTTCCATGGTGGAGACATTTATGGAAAGAGAGAAATTTGGATTCTGAATTCATTTTGGTGTGTTACATTCCAGTGCTATAAAGTACAATTAATCTGGAAGAGGTGCAATGTATTTTTCTTAGTTGTTCCTGTATACTACTAAGGATGTTCACCCTGAACTGTTGAGCTTAGATTTTTTTCTCTTTTACTGAAATACTCATTAGATTAGGTAATAACACATGCATGTGCATGGAACAGCCAAAAAATGACAGAACTATGCAGCCATACACATTTATATTATATATCTATGTATAGATAGACATTTTTGATAGCTTAGTCTTCCCTGAAATTACTCATTTTATCTTACAGAAATGCGTAGTGAAAGAAAAGTATTGACAAGCCATGAAGGCTTTACAGTAATGTGTTCTTGAGAAAGATGACATGCTCATTTATAAATTCACTGCAAACAGCATCACTCATATCTGATGTCTCACATCAGAGTAAAGTTCAGGCTTCTTTACCAAGGAAAACAGACTCTTCCAATTTTTATCTGTGCAAAGCTAAGTATGGGCTTTTATAAGAGAGCAAATACACAGAAAACACCATTGGTTTACAAAAATAAAAAGTCACATCTGAAAATGTCTTCAAAACATATCTAAAGGTCACCAGAAACAAGGCCTAGCTGTTACAAGACATACCTGAAGAAAAAAAATCTTCAAAAAATAGTCAAACATTGAATTACTGGAAACTAGGCCTTAAATTTGGCTTTGTGTTGCTTTTTAATTGGAAGGCAATGTTAACAGGCTCTAAACTTCATACACACAAGAAGTCACACTCCATAGTGATATCTCTCTCAAATTCTAACTAACCTTCCATAAGGCACTAAAAAAATACCTTATGGAATTCAGATATCAAAGGTATTTGGTCTGCATACCTTTTCAACAGGGCATTCAGACCAAAGAAACACAAGGGTTTTAAGCAGACATGAACAGATATGCTGAGTTACAGAACTGGTGCACATCCCGTGCTATAGGCTGCTACATTGGCTGCTGCTACACATAAAGCTCATTTTACAAAACCAATCCATACAAACGAAATATTCTTTAAAAATTAACACCAGTTTTGGTTGACACATTTAAAACCAAAACCAACTCAAACTTCCGTGTCAGTTTACACTCTGCTTAAAATCTAGGATAGATTCATCAGTTCCCCAAGCAGGGTCTGCTCCCCAAGCACTGTCTTTTGATTTTGCTACTGCAACTTCATGGATTATTATCAGTTACTGAAAAAAATGGTGGTAGCAAATATATTTCATAGAAATCTAACAAATTCGGGGAACCAGAAATGTGATATTTAACACCGATAATATAAAATATGTGGTTTCAAGGTAGGATGTATAGATGGGAGCGCAATACTTCTGGTTCACACTAATTTTCCTTTGGCAGTCACGTGGACAGTATATAAACCATAATAATTACATTTTTATCAGATTTCTTATTAATGCATCAGTTCTTAAAATGTAGGCCTGAAGAGCAGAAAATTCACATTCAAAAAATTTACTCATGTGTCCAACATAATATTTCTTATATACATTGACATCTTTAAACCTTCCTTAGTGTTTCTATTTCACAGTTATAACACAATAAATGTCAGTACAAAAAAACATATATACCATGGAATAACTTTCTCCAGAATATTTTCACCTGTTCTTCAGGATTGTAATAAAGGAGAGGAAATCTCAAAGTATATTTCTTGATTCATTCTTGCCATATTAAACACTAGAAAGTTGAAAATCAATCTGCTGACCATTATTACTATCAGATGACAGGTTAATAATAAGATGGCATGACAAATTCACTCTTTTTTAACATATACATTAAGCCATTGGATGGGGCTTTGAGCAACCTAGTCTAGTGGAAGGTGTCCCTCTCCATGACGGGGTGGTGGAATTACATGATTTTTAAGGTCCTTTCCAACCCAAACCATTCTATGATTCTGTGATTTTAGCAAGTTCTGGTTGTTGAGGTTTTTCTTTCAAAGTAAGAATTTGGTTTATCTTAACAGGCACAATGTTCAGAAGAGGTTGAATTAAAACATCTCTAAGATGTCTTTAGCGTACAAGTCAAAAACTGAGGATTTTGAAAATATTTTTAAGCTACAGTACTTTGATTTATAAAGTTTGTTCCTTGGTCTGCCGCAAGACTCAAGTTATTTCAGCTTATTATTACTAAAAATAAACAGTATAACTTAATAAAATCAGTCCCAGCGATTCCTGCCAGTTTAACACGCACTGCGTTTTGGGTGTTTGAGGGATTTTTGGGTTCTTTTTCAATCCATCAGCTTGCAAAGGTTGGTGTTGCTTACTGCACACTGTACACACACTACAGTGGTCCAAACAGGAAAGGTATACCAGTAGTGTGTTTTCTTAGACAAAGCAGCATGTAAAACTTCCTACGCTTATTATCTGGAAAGATCATCAGCTGATGATGAGGTGAAAACATTCTCATGATATCAAATATTGTTTCCTTACCTCATCCTGTCCCTGTTACCAATCTGTGGTTTGCTGGCTTTTTTTTACCTTTTCTGACACTAAACAACTGTATTTTCTTCTCCTTTCACATTATTCAGAGCTGTTAGATATGAAATCAACATACAACACTTCAGAAAAATGTGTCTAAATTGTGTAAGTATTACGCAATCTTTATTAAATTCTTGTGCTCGCTTCAGTTTAGAAAAGCAAAGGAGCAGGAGAACAAAAGAGCTAAAAAAGAGCCAGCTAAAATATTTCATTATCTATAGGAATACACATTGATATTAAGTCAGGAAAATTATGAGCTGCTTCTCCTACTGGAAAAGGCTGAGGTACGGAATGCCATCACCTCAGTCTTTACTGGCAAGACTAACCTTGAATCCCAGATACCAGAGACTGGGTAAAAGGCTGGAGCAAGGAAGACACCCTCAGGGGAAGAGATCAGGTCAGGAATACCAGATAAACTAGACATATGTAAACTAGATAAATGTTAAGTCCACAGGGTGTACTCATGAGTGCAGACAGAGCTGGTAGATGTCATCACAAGATCACTTTTGATGTTCTTTGAACAAACACAGCAACTGGAGAAGCTGGTTTAGGAAGAAAGCAAATGTCACTTCTATTTTGAAGATGGGCAAGAAGAAAGTCCAGAGAACTACATGCCAGTCACCTGAAGGTAAGGAACAACTATCCTGGAAACCACTTCCAGGCATATGAATGAGAAGGTGGCGGCTGGGAGTAATCAGCATAATTTCCAGACCACAAACTCCAATAAACAGCAATTTACCTGAAGGGTCAGTAATCTCATGTGCCAGTATATGCTGGGGCTGCCCAGCTGGAAAGTAGCTCTGCAGAAAAGGTCCTAGTGGACACCAGGTTCAACAAGAGGCAGCCAAGTGCGCTTGCTGCAAAGAAGGTGAATGGTATCCTGGTTTGCACTACCCAAAGTCTGCCAGTAAGTCAAGGGAAGCGGTCATTTCTCAGTACTGAGTCTAATTCTGGACTCCAGTACATGAGAGACGTGAGCATACTGGAGCGAGTGCAGCAAAGGGCCACAAAGATGATTAAGGTACTAGAGCATCTTTCATATGAGGAAAGGCTGAGGGAGCTAGGATTGTTCAGCTTGGAGAGGAGAAGGCTCACAGGGGTCCTTCTCCATGTATAAAAATACCTCAAGGGAAGGTGCAAAGAAGTTGGAGCCAAGCTCTTCTCAGTGGTGCCCAGTGAAAGGAGTAGAGGAAATGTACACAGACAGAAACACAGAGGCTTCCCTCTGAATGAAAAAGAAACATGTTTTTACTGTGAGGGTGTCTGAGCATTGGAACAGGCTCTTTATTCAGCAAGATCTTGTACAACTTACTCTAGTAACTAATAGGATTTTGCAGACTTCACACTAAGTAGTTAGCCTCCAGTTCAGTTCAAAGAGAGATGCTAATTCTGTTTCTGGCTAATATAAACATAAGCAGCACTGGCTTTGCCATATCACCTTTTAAAGAAAACATGCTGCACATGATACCATTGAGTATGCAGACAGCAGAACTTCTTACTAAAACTGTTTCAGTAGTAGAGTGGTGAATCTCACTGGGCTGCATGTACCCCCAACACCACAGCACAGCAGTCATTAATTGTTCTGTTCCTGCTGAATAAAATCTCATAATTATGAGACAAATATCTGAAGATGCTTACAATTGTCATTTAATAATTGACCACTTCTGAGAGAGAACATCAAGCGATACAGGCCTTTAGTTTGATCAACTGTGACAAATTTAAGCTCTAGAAAATTCTGCCAAACAACAGTTATAAGTAAGTTTAGTATTAGGCAAAATCTGTGTTCTTCTCAGGTCAGGAATATAGGATATGAAAATTACGGTCAAAAAATACATCAAGAAAATGTTGTGCCACACAGACCCAACAGCCTTTGCTTCTTCTATGTTTTCCAAGCACTTTGTATACAAACATGTAGTTTGATATGATATACAGAACCTGCTACAGAGCTCACTTGTGCTGAGTTAGAACTGTATGGTTCATCTCCTATTAAAATGAGGTTTCATAAGAGTGGTGACTTTGTGACCAGTTATGTAATTATTTGATAGGCCATCCCAAATTTTAAAATATGATGTGTTATTCAGACTCAGAAGGCTTAAAATCAGTTGCAAAATAATGATCCCAGTGACCACAAAGCCACCTTCTTTGTTCTTTAAATCAAAAATGAAAAATTTGTGAAATTATAATTTTAATATGCGAACTTAACATTTTAAATAATGCAAAATAAAATCAACAGTATGAGCAACAAGCTACACAGAAGAGGATAACAAACAACAAATATTTAGAAAGAGAATGCACTACTGGCATATACGGAAGTTTAAGCTTCCCCACTCCCACCCCTTTCCCTTCAAAAATACATACCTGCTGAATGTGTCTACCAGCTCGTTTTTGAGGTTGGTAGATAAGCCAAGTATACAGGACTGGATCAACATTAATTGCTAATCCTTGTACACTGGACAGGAGAACTGCACCTACACACCATAGAAATGAGAAAAAATGTAAACTATCTGCTTAAGAATCTCCTTAAATATATTCAGTTTTCTTGCACATAAATCATCTTTCATGTATACTTTTGTTTGGCTTGGATTTACATACATGGTCATTTTAAATTCTAATCAAGAGTAATAATTAAAGCATACAATTCAATAACTTCTTCCAAGTGAGAAACTTACCAGCACTGCCAGTGTTATGGACACATACACACACAAAAAAACAGCAAACTGCATTCTGATTTTGCTTATTAAAATTTTTTTGCCAAGAAAAGTGCCTGCTTTCACAAAGTTGTTTGTGTAACTGAATACACACAACACCTCTCCTCAAATTCTCAGCCAATATTAACACTGTGCAAAAAATGACTCAATTAAGACCCTTGACAGAAAGAAAAGAATATAATGCATGACTTCCCACAACCTCAACAAAAAAACCCTCATGGTCTAGGACAGTGGGTTCTTCTAACAAAGACAGGCCTCCTCTAGATTAGTGTTCTGCTCAAAGCAGTTTAGGACAAACACTTTTCATGTAAATGTCGGCATGAATAATCTTTAGAAGATGACTTAGGCAAAATAAGCCAAATTTTTAAACTCTGATAAGATTGGCAATCTCAGAACTGTTGAGCTCTTAGGATTTTACCCTAAGTTTTACAGTGTAACTTATTTTCTTTAAATCTCACTTCTGAATTTCTAGACAGGGCTACCACATCTTCATTGCTTAAAAGGAAACTTCTAGTTTTCTTATGCTTGTGAAGAAAAACTTACATGGAAAATGTTAAGGCTCAAATTAGGAGAATAACTGTCTCAGTACCCAGAAATGTTAGCATATACATCAAGCCATGCACACTAAAACCCAATTTATAAATTGCCATTTCCATTAAACCTGCATTAAAAATCTGATGATGCACTGGTGAGGTGTTTTAATGTAATAGAAAAGTATCTATTATATTTAAAAAGTGTGGCAAGTAGAAGTAGGCAGTTATCTTTACACATAAGCTTTGCAATTTTAAAACAAATTCATAAATTAAATAATTAAATAAATAACAAAATGAATTTAAAACAGAAATCCTGGTTACTGGAAAATCCCAGCACCACGTTCTAGAAAACTACAGTAGTTCTATAATACTAAGAATAATAGTTCCCAAAGCAATATATACTACATTTACTCCATAGTATACAATGTAATTATGGAGCAATCTGAACTTAATAATAAATTCAAATAAATTCAGAAAGCTTGACACACAATTCAATGTACTTTCCAAAAAACAGTAAAAACATGCGCCTCAAAACACACATCAGCAAAACTGTAAATAGGAAATTAATTAAAAAAATATAAGTTATGACTTTATTGTATATAACAAAATTTTAAACCCAGCTGAATTCCAAATAGCAAAGACCCACCAACCTGGGGCGACACAAGCAAAGCCTGATGAGCACAATGGGAAAATGGCAGTCAAGAAATACACAAAGATAAATCATTTGCCTAGCACAGGCTTGGAGTTGGAACACACACTGTGAGGAACTCCTATGCACAGACTACTCTATGTGAGCTGATGGTTTTAAATGTCAGTAATAAACCTTAGAAATAAATCTGCAGTTTAAGGCAAAGCCAACGTCAAGCATAAAGTAAAGGGGTAACATGCAAGTAAGAAGAGCAGTGAACATGTCATGTGGCAGGATATGGAGGAAACTAGAAAAAGGGAGAAAAAGGTAACAGAGGATTGATAAAGTATATGCTTCAATCATTAGCTTTTATAGGATACTTGGATGCCAAAGTAAGAGAATCCTGCATCTTTAAGACATACTGCCTGTTGTCAGCAATACTTAATGAAAGGTTTAATATATATGTGATTTGATAAGTGGGAGTCAGACCTCCCAAAGAGCGAGGAATAGTCAGCCTACAGGCAAAGCCAACAGAAAATACCACACTTCTAACAGACTCCTGAAAAGAAAAAATGGTGTTACTGAAGCACATCATGTTATGGTAATGTAACATAGTTTCTTGATTACTGAAAAAAATTAGCTAAAACTAAGACTTTCAGTAAAATTAAGTCATGCTTTGAACTGAAACTAGCTTTTCCCCCTCAATGAAGTCATACCAGCACAATCCCATAAAATTCTACAGTAAGACAGCACAGATACCAAAATATTTTATTTTTCCAGTTGTCTTTCAATAGCTGGTGTCTAGGAT